AAGAAGAAAGAAAAAGATTTCCGTCCTGGGAAGTGTGCCCACTTGTATTTCTGAAAAGAAATGTAAGTGCGTCCTGAAACGTAGCGTCCTTGATCATCAGAGGCGTAGAGGTCGAAAAACAAACACATTCACCGCAAGGTGAAGTGTGCCCACTTAGTCCCCGAGCCTGGTAGTAGGTGACGTAGGCACGTGGTGCCAGGGTCTAAAAAGAATTCCCAGTTAAGTTGAGAATCCAATCGTCGTACAGGCGATACGAGATGCACCGGCAGGTGCATCGTACCGATGTAGTCCCCGAGCTTGCTGGAAGGCGAGGTATGATCCTTGTAGCAAGGTCCAAGAAAAAATAACCCAACTGTATGCGAGTTGCCAGTCACATGTAGTCAAGACGCAAAGTCCCCGAGCCATGGTCGGAGAGTGGTCGAGGCAGTCCCCGAGCACAGGTCGAGGAGCGAGCGACGAAGTCCCCGAGCCATGGTCAGAGAGTGATCGAGGCAGTCCTCGAGCACAGGTCGAGGAGCGAGCGACGAAGTCCCTGAGCCGTGGTCGGAGAGTGATCGAGGCAGTCCCCAAGCACAGGTCGAAATTCTTATCTTTGGATAGAAATCTGGTCGATGGCGATGAAGTTGTCCAGTCCTCGAGCTTTTCGGCCTGTCGTCATGACTGTGGTCGCGATTGTCGTAGTGCCGTTCTTCGTGGCGATCATCATTGCGACGTGGTCTGGTGGTCGATGTGGTCGGAGTTCAGCGGAGCCGCTTGGGACGTGGTCGACGTGGTCGCGGTCGACGTGGTCGGAGCTCGGTGGAGCCGCCCGGGACGTGGTCGACGTGGTCCGTGGTCGACGTGAGCTCGGACAGCTTGCTCAATCGGTGATGGTGTAGGAGCAGCCTTTGCCGCTGCTGGAGTACTCGTCGTCTTCGTTGGCTTGTGTGTTGATCAAGCTTGGCTCTTGGAAATTGACGTAGAGCTACATGGCACGCGTATATGCATGCATACTTGGCCTTGCTTGCTTGCGTCGGCTTCATGGTGATGTTGTCGTACGTCCTTGCCTGCTTTGCCTCGTGTTGATCTGATGCCGTAGTCCACGGGCGCGAGAGGTTGCCGAGCATCGCTACGAGTGAGCAAGAGGCGCGGCCGACTATGCAACGTATATGCATGAACATGAATACGTGTAGCCCCTGATTGCTTGCATGGCCATGACGTTTGCATGCATATATCCATATACGATACATGCATATATCCATATATGCCCTGTCCTGCGCTGCTTCCTCGCTTGCTTGCATGGCCACATGACGTTCACATGCATATACGGTGATACGATGCACGATATATCCCGAGCACGGAGTGGTCCGATGCGATATATCCCGAGCACTTGCATGGCCATGACGTTCACATGCATATACCCGATACGACGATGCACGATATATCCCGAGCACGGAGTGGTGCGGCGATATATCCCGAGCACTTGCATGGCCATGACGTTCACATGCATATACCCGTGCTCGATGCACGATATATCCTGAGCACGGAGTGGTCTGGCGATATATCCCGAGCACTTGCATGGCCATGACGTTCACATGCATATACCCGTATACGATGCACATATATATCCTGAGCACGGAGTGGTCTGGCGATATATCCCGAGCACTTGCATGGCCATGACGTTCACATGCATATACCCGTATACGATGCACGTATATATCCTGAGCACGGAGTGGTCTGGCGATATATCCCGAGCACTTGCATGGCCATGACGTTCACATGCATATACCCGTATACGATGCACATATATATCCAGCACGAAAGTGGTCTGGCGATATATCCCGAGCACGGAGTGGTCTGGCAAGAAGACCCAGAGCGCGGAGTGCTCTGGCGAGCTCGGCAGAGCTGCTCAGGACGTGGTCGACGTGATCCGTGGTCGACGTAGTCGGAGATCTTCCTTGCTTGCGTGAAGATTACGGAGTAGCCTGATGAAGTCCACCACGTGGGGAGAGGTACATGCAGATGTTTGCATGCCTGATAGATGCATCCTTGCATGTATACATGTATATAAACCTCAACGTTTAATTAGCTTGCATGATCCTGTAGTTCCAATAATTCACCGCGATCAAGGAAGATATGGTCGGAGCTCGGCGGAGCCGTTTGGCGTGGCTCGCTAGTCGGCTCGGCGTGCTCGACGTGGCTCGCTTGTGGCTCGGCGTGGCTCGCTTGACGGCTCGCTGCGGCGCGCCAACGGCTCGGACAGCTTGCTTGATGGCTCGATGTATGCGTGTGCACATACAAGTTGAAAGATCATGACTATCCATACTGAACTCGTATTGCCTTATAGATTGGATCGTAGGCCTCCTGGTTCGTTGTTGATAGACCACGATACGCCTTCGTCACTGGCTTGTTGCCATGCGATGGTTTGTACAGAGCGATCTAATATTGGACTTCTGTCTTGAGTGGTTGAACTGCGGACGCATGGAGACAGATCCATCTTCAGCTTCGTGGTATGGCTTCAGATCAATTCCTTGCTTCGTTGTTTGTTGGTGCTGGTCTCATCAATGGTCCGTGGAGTTGATTCAATTGCCCCCTGTTACAACACGTGAGGCCGTCCGTTGCTATCTGATTGTGGATAATCGCCGATTATCATCGTGTGGAAAAAGGTCGTCGTGGCGCAGCGAGATGCATCTATGCTCGAATGTTGTCGAGGGTCGTCGCCGTGGATTGCCAAGAAGGCCTGCTTTGTGGCTTGCAGGGTGCCGCGCGCGTATTCCTCGCTGTCAAGTCTCGCGCGGCTCTTTTTTGGTATGTACCCGGACGGAGTTGATCTCGTAAGAACCGGACGAAAACGTAGATGAATTCCGATCGTCGGACATGGATGAGTACGAGCAAGTCCGGATATATCTTGATTATCTTTATTTGCTTGCATGTCCGATCGATGCATATGTGGGCACCTCCTTCTTTGTTTGCTTGTTGGTTGAGGATTTGGACGTAGCCGTGCAGTCGCCGGCGTGCCAGATACGCCATCGTCGCATGCCAAGTTTGCTCGCTCATGATTTCGACTTTTTGAGAGATGCATCCGTGTACGCGGTGGTAGTCGTCGCGTTGTCGGCCGGGTAACGATGCCATAAAAGACTTGGATAGTTTGAGACAAGGCCCAGATCGAGGATTGCGCCGCTTCATGTTTCCTTCAGAGGTGAAGTCCCATCGCACGTAGCCGGGACGATTGTTGTCGCCAGAACGCCGAGCTCGTAAGGTCGTTGTTGTCGCAGGTAGCCGACGGTTGTTGTAGTCCCCGAGCTTGCTTTGGAAGGCGAGGTATGAGCCTTGTAGCAAGGTTGTGTGGAGGTGCGACAAGACCCGCATAAGGAACGCCATCAACAAGTCACCGAGCGCCATCATCTTCTGTTAACCGGCGAAGCTCCTGCGGTCTCGACCAGCCGTGCATCGGCGGGGCCATCTTCTTTAGCTCGATCAATGCCGAGTCCCCGAGACCTGCAGCACGATGTCGTGCCCAATGAGCAAAGAAGCGCCGCAAGTGCCCGACCAGCCAATAGTGTAGGCTATAGCTGTACAAGAAGATGTAGTTGTGTTATTGTAAACTTGGACCTTTTCGTGCAAGCTTGTAATAACGTGAATCAGATATCAACATAAGCTTGTTTGTTTTTGTAGAAAACATGTTTAAGCTCGGATATGATGTTGGTGTAACTAAGTTAGAACGTGTTGGCGTTACATTTAGTTGTACCGGCTTAGCCGACACGCCATCCTCGAAAGGTTTGTACGCCCCTGGTTTGACTCATGGTCGAAGTGTGAGGTGTAATAAAGTATGATGCCGAAGGTTCCCCGAGCTTCTTTGGAAGGCGGGTATGAGCCTTGTAGCAAGGTCAAAGAAAATAAATGCCTCTCAACCGTATGTGAGTCTAAGTCACATGTAGCCGAGGAGAACACAGCCCTTGGACCGTGGGTCTGAGAGTGGTCGGGCGCCCCTGGCCCACATGTGTCGAGGAGCGAGCGACGAAGTCCCCGAGCCGTGGTCGGAGAGTGATCGAGGCAGTCCCCGAGCACGGAGTGGTCTGGCCAGAAGTCCCAGAGCACGGAGTGGTCTGGCGAGTCCCCGAGGGTCCTAGAGCACGGAGTGGTCTGGCGAGTCCTCGAGCACAAGGGTGGTCTGGCCAGAGTCCTCGAGCACCGTGAGTGGTCTTGGCGAGCCTCAAGCATGAGCTCGTTGATCAAACTATGTTCTCGAAAAACAAACACGGAGAGCGGTAGTACATGATGATGTACGAAATATATTGATCTCTCTCGTAGGAGGTGAAGTAAACACTTGGTGTTCGGGTTGGCGATGAATTATACTTGGTGTAAT